ATATATATATAAAAAAACACAATGTAACCATTTTAAAGAAAAAAAGGATGTTTTGCTGCCAATTTGCAATCGTGTTTGTTATATATATTTTTATTAAAGTGGAAATCAGTTTACTAAATAATGTAAACTTGACTGACTTCACTTCCACTTTAAAAAGTAAAAGAGACTACTGTTTATTGTTTCATATGAATGCTAAGTTATATTTGTTTAGGGTATAATAATTATTAATCATGTAATTAGGCATCAACAGAAGTCTGTGTTGACTGCACATGTAGTCAGTCAGATGAAGGTGTGTTTGGTTTGTTACCCGTGAATCGGCCACTTTGCTCAACCCCAGCTCCTGAATCAGTCTCTCAACCTTCTCATCTTTTTCTCGCTGACGGATCGACTTTGGGAGCCGTAAAGCCGCTGAGAAACGCAGATTCTCGCGAACGGTCAGCGTCCCCATGACCACGTCATCCTGCAAAAAAACACAAAGCCTGGTTTTCAGCATGTTTCATGTGTTTAAAACATGACGGAGCACTTTCTGAACACACGCGTTTAGGACTTTTCCAGGTTTTAAAGGGGTCATATGATGCTGCTAAAAAGAACATTATTTGGTGTATTTGGTGTAATGAAATGTATTTATGCGGTTTAAAGTAAAAAAAACACATTATTTTCCACACAGATCTAAAATAAACATGCAATTTATTTCCCAGCTGTTTACCTTCACAGACATAACCCACTGTTTTTGTAACTCGTGTGTGTTTGAGAACTTAGTTTAGTACTCGCATGCTGTGACAGCCGCTTTCTGTCCGTGTGCACTCAGAAAACCATATATCAGTTTAAACTAATATTGTTTAAAACATTATTTCAGCGCGATAAACATGATAATTAGAATTGAAACATGTTTTTTTAGCAGATACGAGCTGTAATGGCGCAGCTCTATTCTGGAAAAGGGGGCGGGGAGCAGCAGCTAATTTGCATTTAAAGAGACAGGCCTGAAAAACAGCTTCCACTCAAAATAGGCATTTTCAAAATGATATAATAAATGATCTGTGGAGTATTTTGAGCTGAAACTTCACAGACACATCCTGGAGACACCAGAGACTTATATTACATATTGTAAAA